TATTAAAATGGTCTCTTTACTGGACTGTTCAATATATCACTGATTCAAATGAATCCGCTGATAAATATCAATACTTTATTGTCCCAGTTTTGTACAAAAATTTTACAAAAACAATATATCCACCTCGACAAACTTATGGCGACGTGACAAATTCTGCGACCAGTTCTAACTTCTTATTTTTCTTGATGTGTCTATCCGTTACCAATGTTGGCGATGATCATCGCAATCTTTATCTTATCTGCACAGATGTTGTATTGAACCAGATTCTGAGGTTCTTTAACCAGGATGTTCTTCTTTTTTTCCTGGACCTTGCTTTCCAAATATGTTTCCTTGCAGGATGGCTTGAAAGAAAACATATTTGGATTCACCTCGCATAATATGTTCGAAAAACTGTAACTTTCGAGACATAATGGTGGTCAGTACCTTTCGGTTATTATATTCATTCTTCTGAGGACCTACTGATTTGTGACTCAGGTCAGTCCACAGGATCTTAAGTATTATTTGATATAGCTATATCTCAAATGCTTCCAGTTTTTTGCACATATCTTCGTTCAAGGTCCACGATTCAACGCCAAAAAAAGGACAGAGAAGACGTAGCATCGCATCATTCTTATTTTTGTATCAAGGGAAAGGTTGTGACTCTTGAAGAAGGCCCCCATCTGATTAAAGGTTGATCTAGCTGTTCCGATGCTTGCTATAATCTCCTGGTTGTTGGCCATTCTTCATTAATTATGGTGCCGAGGTAGTTTTTTTAGATCTTGGTTGTTAATTCCTGCTTCTTTTAGTATTTACATCATCTTGGCGTACTGTAATCGATCAAACACTTTCTCGTAATTAACCAGACATGCGTATACGTCGCAGTTGACGTCTCTAAATCTCTGGAAGAGGACTTGTACTGAGAACAAAGCCTCTCTAGTACCAACAGTTCTAATAACAAAGACAAACTTTACAAAATATTATACAACATAAAATATAAATAAGCTATGTCATTAAAACAAAGGTATCAATAATGTTTAAACTCAGTATAATAATTTTTTAAAGTTATGACAGTTATATGAACAATTTTACTGCATCTAAGAGAGATACTCATTTAAATTCTTCACAAAAAACCCTCTGGTTTCTTTGTTGTGGTCTAATACAACTGTTCGAGCAAATACATTGTAGATTTTATGAAGTAGAACATGAGTCTACTATCTTTAAAGTCTTAGAGCATCCGCCAACTAGACAGGCTGGTTGCGGCAGCTGACATATATGGCTAGCCAGTAATGTGTGTTGTGTTTGTGTTGTGTCTGTTATTTAACATGGGTGGGATATAGCAATATGGACATGAAAGAGGCCATAATTATTTACTGTTTGTCATGTAAAAAAGGACAGAAAAGGCTGTTAAATCGCCTTCGCAATTTAAATTGGTAATTTCTTTTAATCCTCGTTTTTTTCCATTCTCGGTCACTTTATTCTTTAAAAGATATATCCCAATTTGCCTTTCCTTATCCCAAAACGGCTTTCTACTTCCTGAATTAATTTTTCGGTGTCAAAGTCTTTTTAAAAACGTTGGAGATATGTTTTGCTGGCACGACAAGTGCGCGGAGACTTAAGGCAGCCAAATTAATTTTTTATTCTCGCTTTGACTACGAACAGCCAATGGACTGCCGGTGAAACAGGCACGTTCTAGTAGCTGCCGCAGCTTGCTGCGCAGACACAGCCAGGCTGCCTAGTGTGAGATCCCTTAGGCATCGTCATTGCTGCTGATTTAACAGATTTAAGAATTTGTAAAAAAATATAACTTTCCATAAAAGATTAAGTTCTGATTCGTATCCAAACAATTAAGCTAACTTTTTGCATTTCTTCTTCTTGTAGTGTCTATCCGTTTTTGATGTTGGCGACCATCCTGACAATCTGTATTTTGTACACTGCTGCTCTGAAAAGATTTGTGGTTGTGTTAAACCACGTACGTAGATTTTTCAGTCAAAAAATGCTTCGCCTTCCTGGTTCTCGTTTTTCTTTTAGTTTTCCGCGTAAAAGGAATTGCAGAAACCCATACCGTTTGCTGTTCCTCATGATGTGATAGAGTTATTTGATTTTGGCTGTTTTTATTGTGTTTTGTTATTTTTGTAAATTCCTTATCAGTATTAGTATTGTAATAAAGCTTCCTTATTAGTATCGTGGTCGGTATAAGATATCTTCAGGATTCAACGATAAAGCCACATTTTAAAAGCCTTAATTTTCTTGAAGGTAGCGTCTATGAGACTCTACGACTCATGTCTAGACAACACAGATGAGTCTGTATTTCTTGAAATACAGATCTTGCTTTCTCTATCTTACAGTTGATTTCTAGAGAATGGTCTCAATTTTCATTGCCGTTCGTAGTTTTTCATTTAATTTTCCTTTCTTTTACTTGCGCTTTTCATCAACGTGTTTTGTTTTGAGAGATAAACAAATATTTTGTTGCGCATTTGTAGATAATCCAAACATTGTTTATCTTGAAAACATTGATTCCTTCTATTGATTTCCAATGAAGATATTGAAGCACTTAACTTTTTTAAATTTTATTGACCACCATTTGATCCAGGTACAAATTCGGTTCACGGAATGTTGTAAATGTGCTGATATTTCTTAAAGATTTCTCCGAAATGAAAGGATTGTCGTGTCATTAGCGAAGGTAGCACTAATATTAATTATTAAGGTTAAATGTATTAAATCGAAAATATAATTGAGTTAGTACCTATTAAATCGTTACGTAAAGTCCGTAGAGATGCATGATTTCTCAATAGCTTAAAATAACTTCTTTGTAATGAGATAATGTGCTAATTACTGTTCTCTTATTTACGGATGGACTAAAATAAACGACACTTAATTTTAACAGATTTCACATTTGGCCTTTCCAAGTTTAGTTGGTCAGCTGTTAATTAACACTTACCATTTCAGTAATCATCATTAATAATTTTTTCGGTACCCGTCGGTCAACAAAAATTATACAAATTTCTGCACTAGACCAGGCATCAGGTGACCTACCAATGTATATAAATGTAACACTAATTAAATGTTACTAAATTTTTCTATCAAAGTCTAAAAAAAACACAAATGATCATACTATCGTCATACCCCATTCTAGAAAAAGAAATAGGCCAGAAAAAAATATATATTACAGGTTAGTTAATGAAAGATACGCATCAAAGTATTCTGAGATCAGCCATATTTTTTTAACAAAGGCAAACACCTAAATTGTAGTTTTTTGTTTGCCTGGAAAACCGAAAAATTCACAATTTCCGATTTGTATGACACAATAGTTTCTTAACAAAAAAATTTGCTCCTAATAGGTATAATAAAAAAGCTACATGCAAAATATATAGTTATTCTGACTGCCTTGTTTTATAAAAAATATGGCCTATCTAACACTATTTTTTATTTAATACGTCCCCTCTAGACTTCCTTTGTCTGTAATAAATTTTAAGATAAAATCAATCATTTTTTCCTTTCTAGACTGGTTTATAAGGTTGTATAACTGACATAAAATGTTATTTATTTATTATTGATTTAGGTTTTTTTTTGTATTTATGAGATTCCCATTCGTGTCAAGTACAGGCCAAAAGATCTGTAGGAAGACGCCAGAACTCGTTTCTGAAAAACCTAAGGAGATGGTTTCCTCGCTTATTCACAGAAACTTTCGTGCATAATTTTCTAAAGCTACAATTACAATTTGGATCCCCAACCTTCGAAAGGAAACGACGTAATAAGTAGAATATTTTTGTGTATTTGTCTCTTTTTGTTACCTGCATATTTTGATCATCCGTCAATTTATGCTTTTTTGGTAATGGATTTGATTTAGCTTTATTTCTGGTAACAACCAGATCCTCTATGCTGTTCTTTTTTGTAAATAAAGAAGTTTTGATCTGGTATTTCTTCACTTAACTAATAACCCGTTTAAATTTTTGCATATCTGCTTTGTTATGTTGTCTCCTTTTCTGTATCCTCTAATCGAAATTTTTAGTTTCAATAGTATAAAGTAGTATATGGTGGTGTAATATCTGGTCAATAGTAGAGCGGCCCGGTCTAAATCCTCATTGATAATCTCCAACGATTTCTTCTGTGTATGTTTTGGTTCTTTCTGACAGGATGTTTGCAAGGATTTTGTAGGTGGTGTTTAAGAGGGTTATTTCCCTGTAGTTAATACATTGGTTTTTGTTTCCTTTTTTGTGTGTTGGTACAATAACCCCTTCTTTCCATTCATCTGGCATTATTTCTTCTCGCCAAATGTCTTGAATTAGCTTGTATATAGAACTGTACAACACTTCTCCATATTTTAAGCACTCTGCGGGTATACCATCGCTACCTGGTGTCTTATTATTTTTAAGTTATTTAATTGCCTGTATTACTTCTTCGTATGTCGGGATTGGTCTTCTATTTTAGCTGTATGTACCTCTACGTTTGATGTATTTCTGCTAGATTGGTCGTTCAATAGTTGATAGAAGTATTCTTTCCAGGTTTTTCTTGTATATATAAGTCTACTGTAAAAAGTATAATATATGTCTGAATTGTTAATATAGATAAGTTAGATTAAATGATAATAAGATAAGGAGAATATTTCACCCAGTAACAAAAAACAAAATTTGTTTAATTTAATGTTTTCGAACGATTTTCGAAGTGAAAATTAAAACGTCAATAAACTTATTACTTCTTCTTTATATTCACAACTATTTAAATATTTGAAAGTCACTTTTACTCACATAATAAATTACCACGAATTAAAATTTACAACACCGATGCCTGGTCTATATCATTCATTATTAGTTTCGTTCGATCTGTCTCTCTCACTTGATTATTTTAATTGTTGTTTGTAAGATGTAGCCTTCCATTGTGATAATTATCGTAATTGATTTATAGCCAATTTGTTACAATTTATTAAGGCTACATACATTTACGATTCGTCCGTTTGGTACTACATATAAATCTGTTTAATATTGGCGATGGAATTCTCAGACCGGTATTTCTTATTTCTGCAGGTTGTCAGTGCAGCAGCTAATCAGAAACGAGCGAGAACGCGCATTACCGACGATCAACTGAAAATTTTACGTGCTCACTTCGATATCAACAATTCGCCGTCGGAAGACCAAATTCACGAGATGGCATCACAAAGTGGCTTACCGCCGAAAGTTATAAAACATTGGTTTAGAAACACATTGTTCAAAGAAAGGCAGCGTAATAAAGATAGCCCGTACAATTTTAACAATCCGCCGTCAACTACATTAAATTTAGAAGAATACGAAAAAACTGGTGAGGCTAAAGTAATGCCCTTGAACAGCTTAGGGAGTAGTATTGAAGAGAATAAGTCAAAAGAATCACCAAAACTTTCCCAAGAAATAAAACATGAATTAAAAGAGGAACCTATCGATGACTTCCCAAAACTAAACGATGACAAAGTACAAGAACCTATAGACGAAAAACCTAACATATTTAACTTACCAGTAAACTTGCAACAAGCACAAAGTCCAGCGACGTCTGTTGCCAGTTCAGATAACCAAAGTGTATCACAACCAAGTACACCGAATAATCTTACCCTGACTTCAATTATTGCATCTCAGTTAGGTGATACCTTAACTACGAGTACACCTACTATGAATATGGCCAGCTTATCATCCCATCATGGTCTTACAAGTCCTATGTTGCCGCCTCCTAAACTTAACCAACAAAATTTTCCTAATCCAAACAATCTTCAGGGAATGCTACCCCTTACTCCTAACCGGTGCCTAAGCCCTAGCCGAGACTACAGCAATCCTGGAAGTCAAGGATCTGGAGGTTCAACTGGAAAAAGAGCAAACCGTACTAGATTTACCGATTATCAAATAAAAGTACTACAAGAATTTTTCGAAAATAACGCTTACCCAAAAGATGACGATCTTGAATATCTATCTAAACTATTAAATCTTAGTCCAAGAGTTATAGTAGTTTGGTTTCAAAACGCTCGCCAAAAAGCACGAAAAGTATACGAAAACCAACCAGCAGTTGAGCCCGCACCTGGAATTGACGAAGCTGGAGCAAATAGATTTCAAAGAACTCCTGGACTAAATTACCAATGCAAAAAGTGTCTACTGGTATTCCAAAGATACTACGAACTAATTCGACATCAAAAAACGCACTGCTTTAAAGAAGAAGATGCAAAACGTTCAGCACAAGCTCAAGCAGCAGCAGCACAAATAGCCGCTGTATTGAGTTCAGAAGATTCAAATTCAAGTACTACTGTAGAACAATCTCAACAACATCAGATGCCCCCTCAAAGTGGATTACCGAATCTACCTCAACCCAACCTTACGCAAAGTCCCAATCATCCTACTGCTCCAACAACTCCTACTCCAAGCCAAGGAAACTATCCCCCAACATCTCCTTCCCCTTCCGAATCCAAAGAAAGTACATTTCAGTGCGATAAATGCAATCTAGTTTTTCCCCGATTTGAACTATGGCGAGAGCATCAACTTGTTCACTTAATGAATCCTAACCTTTTTCCATCATATCCCCCAGATTCTCCTTTTGGAATCCTTCAGCAGCATGCCCAACTACAACAACTAAACGCTAATTTGGGGGATATAAATAAGCAACAGAACAATGTTGGGAATATACCTCAACAAAATCTTCAGCATCCTCTCATCAATATGTTAAATAATGTTGCTGGGCAAAAAAGAAAAGTTGATGAATTTGATGCCGAAAGTGACACTTCTGATCAACCCAAAGATAAAAGACTTAGAACCACAATACTACCTGAACAACTAGATTATCTTTATCAAAAATATCAGGTAGAAAGTAATCCATCCAGAAAAATGTTGGAAAATATTGCAAGAGAAGTCGGTTTAAAAAAGAGAGTGGTTCAGGTATGGTTTCAGAATACCAGAGCCAGAGAAAGAAAAGGGCAATTTAGAGCCCATGCTCAAGTAATTAATAAAAGATGTCCGTTTTGTCCAGCCCTATTTAAAGTTAAGTCTGCCCTAGAATCTCATTTAACCACCAAGCACGCAGATCAGTGTGCTAGAGGTGAAATAAATATTGATGCGTTGCCCGATGAAGAGATAAGCCTTGAATCAGCACCAAGCTTGAGTTCAGGAGGCGAAAACAAAAATCAACCTCCAAATTCAAGCATGGTACCCCCTCTATTTCCATCACTTCATCCCGATATGGAGAATTCCATAAAAAAATATTATGAAGAAAGTATGAAACGGTATATTAATGAATTGCAAGCGCACGCTGCCGCGTCAAATGGTGATAAAAGTGAAATAAAATCGGAAAAACCTGAGGGTGGAGAAATTCCTTTAGATTTATCTAAGCCAGTAGATCTGTCTCGACCAATGAAAGTTTCTATGGATCATGAACGAAATGTATGTGATCCAGGCCCATTAACTGATCTCAGCGAGCGTTCTTTATGTGATGAACGTAGCGACTCTATGTCTGAAACTACGGAATACTATGACGATGAAAGTAATCCAACCTCACCTGCCAGTAGTACTCAAAGCAACACTCAGAAACAAATGAATAGCAGCGGGTCACAGGCTGGCAATAAACGTTACCGAACTCAAATGTCTTCAGTTCAGGTGAAAGCTATGAAAATTTTGTTCAATGACTACAAAACACCTACAATGGCTGAATGTGAAAATCTTGGAAGAGAAATTGGTCTGCCCAAACGAGTTGTTCAAGTATGGTTCCAAAATGCACGAGCTAAAGAAAAAAAAAGGCAAGATAGCGTTACAAAAAGCTTTAGGGCAAAACGAAGGAGAAACCAATGCAATGCCTGATGACTGCAAGTACTGTAACTTCAAATATTCCCACAAGTACTCAGTACAAGATCACATCTTTACCAAATCACATATAGCCAATGTGAAGATGCATCTAGAAAACCAAAATAAGGATGTTGGTCCCGAGAACGAATTCACTGTGCCATCAATACCTGGGGCTTCGGGTGCCGTTTCAGCCGATTCCACCACCAACCCTCAGCAAAATGTCAACAACAACAGCCACTACCAACTACTCCAAATGTCTGGCGTGCAAATGGGGAACATGGCTAAAGGTGAACAGGAGGAGAATCAAGAGAACCTCTTCCAGCAATTCTACCAACTCGGCAACAATGCAAACTACGGCGTTCAAAACCAGTACGTTCATCATGCGATGTTTGGCGCTAATGGTGAGTAACATTTTAAATACTTTTGTGTGCTTCTATTTGTTGTTGCTTAGCATTTTATTTGTATAAAAAGATTTGTTCATTCATGCATTTAAATCGATATCGTTAAATTCATTCGGGATTCTGAAACACGTTGACTACGGTTTTTTTTCATATTGGTCGGTAAAGCCTAGTTAACTTCTGATTTAACCGGAAATTACTTTCATTTGTTGTTTTTGCTATCAAATACTGTACCTGATTGTAGAAATAGTGCAATATTAAATTGTAATTATTCTTGTGGTACTTTCTAATTTAAAGTGTTAATTTTGATTTAAATTCTATTATAATATAACCTCAAATTTGCAAAAACAATTGGTATATATGTATATATATATATATATATATATATATATATATATATATGTGTATATATATACTTTGGTTACTTATTTATAATAAAATATATTAAAAATATTATTAATATATACTAATAGAGTGCCGTCGGAAAAAAAGTGTATGATATTATACTTTCATCAAACTTCGGGTATCGCTTCAGTAGTCTTACATGGTTTCCCTCTGCGACTTTTTTTTTGTTCTGGGGCGTTTTCCTTTATTTTCTCCGAAAATTTTCACCCGCCAGACACGAAAAATAAGTTCCGTCAGACAATTTATTGTTTTAATTAAATAGCTTCAAAATTATAAGAAAAATGTCTGATCACTCGAAAATGTCGGAAAAGCTACCGTGATAAAATTCATAGATCACCAGCTAATTTTGTTATAATGCTTTTAATAATAGCAGCAGAAACAACTTTTATATTGTCTGACGCAACGTATTTTCCGATTTTCATGTCTGGCCGGTGAAATGTTTCAGGAAGATTAGAGAAATCATAGGTTTCAGAGATATCATAAACTTTTAAAAACTGCTTGGTACCTCATTGATATTTGTCTGTTTACGTTTTGTATATTTATCTCTCGTCAACTTCTGAGTTGCTTTCCCTTACTCAACGCTTGTGTGAATTTTATGATGGTAATAATAATTTTTTGACCATTTTTCAATTAAGCGCTATAAAACTGTAACTGAATCTTTTAAGAACGATCATTCGCTGTTTGATTATTTTCTTGTGAAGATTCATTTTGTAGCTCTGGAGAGTTTGTTTAAACTACGTTGGTAACACCATTTTTGTAAGCACCGTTTTAGGTTATGTTTTGAAAGTTTGGGAAAAAAAAAGACGTTTACTCATTATATTCGCCAGTTTTTATTTTACTTTTCCGCATTTTAAAAAATCTCTACATTAGTTTTTTTCGAACAAGTCCTACTTTAAAATGCTCGTAAATGTCGCTAAGTGCTCTCTGCTTTTATTACTATTTGGTGAGATTGCTTCCCATTCTCTTGCATTACTTGTTAGATTCTGGCGTTCTTTAACAGAATTTAAGAAACGCAGTTTTCTTTTTCTGGTTTTCTTTAATATTCCCAGTAAACCAAGGTGTTTTTGAATGCAGTTTAACCACCGGTTTTTGAATGCAGTGTTTTTTTTTTATTTACTGTTTTAGTTCCTTATCCAACTATAAGGTAGAGTTTTTTAGGATTTTTTTCATTCTTTGATCCAGCAACCAAGATACTGGAATTTTTGGGTTCTATCTGTTTATTGTAGATACGAATAATAATGTCGGCATTTGGTGCACGTGTAACTGCCATTACGATTATTTAATTTGTGTTTATATTCAGCCCCTAGCTATGTTATGGCATTCAAAATTCGTTGCGAACTCTCAGCACTGTCCCAAATAATGACGGTGTCGTCTGCGTATCTTAAGTTATTTACATATTCTCCGTTGATTTTATTCCTTCTTCAATATTTTAGAGAGCATTTTTGACGATCTTTTCCATTTGATCGCCATTTGATCCCAATATAGGTTTTTAATAAGGGTCACCCTGTTATGGTCTATACCATGCTGTGTTACGGTTTCTACGAGTTCTGTGTGTTTTACTCGATCAAACGCTTTTTCGTAGTCGATAAAACAGAGAAACACATATTTTCGTTGATCTCGGCATTTTTGTAGTAATATGTGTATTTTGGAAATCTTTCAAAACTGACTATGATCTATAATCGTCTTTTAGTAATTTTTTGTGCATAAACATGATTTTTTTAATGCAACCAAATATGAACTTTTTTTATGTATATAATAATAACTATTACTTCTAATACTCGAGCATCTTTCAAAAAATGTGGATGTATATCAAAATATATATTTTGGGTAACGAAAAGACACTGGTTTCTTATACCCAAAGACTGGGTACTGGGTAGAACTGCCCTGAACGAGAAATCAAATCTTTTTGGCCGTAGGAAGTAATAATAAAATACCTTCATGCAGATGCATACGGCGCCATCTGAGAATAAAACAGAAAGTGGAAATCCGAAGATTTCTAGATGTTTAAAAGCAAAATTCAGATTTTTTGCTTAAACATTTGCTTTCTACAATTTTTAAAGTAGGCAGAGGATGAATGTAACGGCATGGGAAATCTAAAATTGCATTCCACGACATATCTGTACATCTAGGCAAGAATCTTTCGTGAACTGGTTTCTTATACTCAAAATACCAGTAAATAGCGATATAGAAAAGACAGTTAAGATTTATTTTCACGTATAGTGCCTCTACAATTTGTTTTCATGTATTTCATCCTAGCAGGTCTCATCAGAGCTACTGGGTAGAATCCCTGAACGAAAAATTAAATCTTTTCCGTCTAAAGAAGTAATAATAAATAAATGCATAGACTCATACAGCGCCATCTGACAATAAAATTTTAAAGCACTATACGTGAAGTCAAATTTTAACTGTGGTTTCTATATCTTTATTATTCGAGCATAAAAAAAACAGTTCACAAGAGGTTTTTGCCTAGATATATCGATATGTATCGATTTAAGGCCTTCTGTCCACTGGATCCGGAAAGCTGCGAAGTCAATTCAACTAAATTCGGTCTAAAACGGACGAAAGTTCGTAATACGTGGCTAGGAGAGGAGTCTACTAGGCCAGTATCATTCGTACGTTTTCGTCTGAATTCGAGCGATGCCGGCTCCGATCCCAGCCTGTTGGGATCTAATTGCGAAATAGTGTGAAACTTGAATCAGGCGAGATTAACACAATGGACTGTGAATGGATAATTTTGCTTATACTAGAGAGAAAATATCTATGGGATCAACATGAATAAGCGATATGTACAAAACCAGATGCGAAATGTACAAAAACAGTTATGGAAGGAAGTTTCTACTGAAATGAGATTTACAGATAAACTGAAGAAGGCTAAGAATTTATTGGAATAAATCCTTTTTCATTCGACAATAGTAAGAACGTGAGAAGTGGTGGTTATTGTTGACTTGGAGATAGTACCACAAATGAGCCAATTCTCCAAACTCGTTTCTTTTGGCGTAAATTGGATTTATCCATACTTCCCTTCTTCGTCTATATTGCCTGAAACATCGATGAATCAAAGGAGATTGTTCCAAAAGAAAACACTCATCAAAATCAGAAAAACCGTTTCGTAGATCTTACATCATACACTTCGGACGAATACTGATTCAATAGACGATCAGCATTCGAACGATTTCGTGATCACGGTATTCGTCCGAATTCACATCTTCGCAATTCGCATCCTTCCGGATTCAGTGGACGAAAGACCTTAGACTAGCATGTCGTTACATTCATTGTCTGCTTGCTTTAAAAATTGTAGAAAGTTTTGAACACCTAGAAATCGGATCTATACTTTTTGACATATTTTGGAGTTTCTTTTATAAAAGAAAACAAATTGAATTTGCATGATTGTATTGCTTTTATTGCTTTTTTGTTCTTTGAAAAATCTAAATATGTAATATGTTGGATTTCAAGTTTAAGAAATAACAAAAACCGTTATTACTTTAGGTATATAATTTACAGTATTTCTACTTGTAACAATACCGAGCCAATAATTAAGAGTAACAATCGCGACTATGGTACATAAAAACAACCTACTTAATTTAATAGCATGTTATTTATTTCGTAAAATACCAATTTCCTGCTAGACTACACGAATTACTATCCCCCAGAAATGAGAAATATGAATTAATTTTTCATTCCCCTTTTGTATTTCTCATATGAATTCGTAACGTGGTGGAGTTGCGCAAGAAGGGCCATCTTTTCATCAAAAGTATCATAGACGTATGTCGAAAGGGGAAAAAACTAATATTTATTATTCAAAAAAATTATACGTGTCCCTGCAACCTGTATTTTGCAACAGGATTTAATATTAGAGGAAGTGGTCCGAATATGAGCCCCCCATTTGTTTTTTTTGTATAAATTTTTGAAAGTTACGAATAAATATCCAGTAAATTACACACTACAAGCTTAAAGGTTTACCTTATGGTATATTAAAAAGGCATTATCAAAAAAATTAAATTTAGGTGGAATTTGTGTCAACACTTAAATTATGTACAGATCTACTTTTGGATTAGACTGCGTGGAATATGGGCCCCCTAGTAAAATAATTGATAGGTATCTAACAATTTGAAAAAACATATATTTTTCAAATAAAAAAAACTGAAAATGAAAATGAAAATACATTTCAACTTAAAAACCACATATTACACGCAAAAGTCACAAATATATGCATCTTTTTCGGCACCTGAACATTGTTCGTGAGCCCATTGATTGCACATGAAGCATTGAATCCATAACTCTCCTCTCTGGTCATCGGAAAAGCGACCATCACAAAATAGGCATACTGCATCACAGCCGTCAGGAACAGATTTGCCAATTTCGTCGATATCCATATCTTCATCGTCTGGGACAAACTCGTGACTTTCATCCTCAGAGTCGCTGACTTTATTGTCTTTTGCTTGCTGTCTTTTTTTGTTAGTTGTCTTCTTTGCTTTTGATTTTGAAAAGACTTGTCGTTTGGTGCTTGCTTTCTTAGGCGTGTTGGTGCAGGATTTCTCTAACTCATCCTTGTAGGGGGAAGAGGTGATCACTTGCGATTTAGTTGATTTTCTTCCCCG